GAGAGAGAGAGAGAGAGAGAGAAGTGACTCACCAGAAACTCGCCGCTGCCGAGGCTCTGCTGCGACCCGTCGGGTGTGACGGCCAAATCGGCCACGATCGACGTGGAGAAGCTTCGCCTCGTCTGATGGTGACACTTGTGCGGCCCGTTGATCCTCTCGGTCCCATAGCCGGACACGTTGTTCTCGTTCACCTTCGACGTCCATATCTCTTCCTCTCTGTGCGGCGACTGGCTGATGGTCCGATGCTTCGTGAACCTCGAGATCCTCTCGGTCTTCACCCAGTCGTGGTTCGGCCGTGGCTGTCGAGTGATCGTCTGCAGCGACTTCATGGCGTTGAACCTCGAGAAACCATCCTCCATGGCCGCTGCCCACAGATGATCCGGCAGATCCTTCGATCCCCGTTGTGTTTCCACGGATTGCCGATCCGACGAGGAGCCAAGGCCCGAAGTGGTCGGTGTGTTGGGAAAGACTCTTCGATAGGTGTCCTTGGAGTCCTCGATGTCCGTGGAGTAGAAGTCGCCGTCACGTGACTCCAGCGAGCGATTGTTCTCGTGCAGGTTCAACGACGATCCGATACCGGTCGACGTGGTCGAGGTGCGAAAAAACTTCGCCTCGTTCGCGGATGTCCATATCTCGTCCGTGATCGACGAGTCGATCCCGGTGGAAGTTGTCGGTGTTCTGGGACGGGGTTGTTATTTACCGACATTGTACTACGCGAAACAGGAATACTCGCGATGGAACCAAACGAGAAGAACTTCGCCTCGTCTCGGTTGCCCTTGGTTGCATCGCGGCGTACTCCTGTATCCTGTATCCTGTAAAAATGGGACTCGGCTAAAAGTCTCTACCTGTAAGAGAGATTCCTCTCCTTCCAGAGATCCTCGGGGTTGGTGGACGCGTGGCTTATGGCAGTATTCGCGAGAGTGGAGTGATGATTGGCATAGGAACATCTCTGAGGGAATCCCATACCCTCGTCGAGACCAGCCGCCCAGAGTGACTCGAGGGGTAGGTCCTGGGTACCAACCGAGGTGCCCGCACCCCTGTTGCCGCCCGTGCCCGCCCCGTGCTTCCCCCCGTTCGAGGGGAACACCCTCTCGGCACCTTGAAGGACGCAGCACATGCTCGTGCCACTTCCTCCGCCACCGCCGACGACGCCACCCTCCTCCGCCTCCGACCCCCTGGAACCAGAGCTTTGCAGGCAACCTATTGTGACCGAGCTTTTAAGCTGCTCGCAGGCCTCGACCCCTTTTTCACGGGGCTGACGACCTTTCCTCCTCCGCGGTTGCTCCCTCTATCCAACGGGACTATTCAACGCTGGCCTTGCCAGGCTTGATCTCTTCAGGGTCGACCCTTCATCCTTCCCTCTCTCATTCTTTCTTCTCCTTCTTCTTCTTCTTCTTCTTTTCCTCTTCCCCTGTGTATTTCCTCCAAAGATCTTTCGATGCTTCAACGTCGCTGGATGAAACTGGCGTCCTCTCCCCTGTTCGAACACCGTAATTATTCTTGACCTCTGGCGGTACTTTCAAGTGAAATAACATTCTCCCACGTAGGAGAAACTCGAACGAATCGACGACGTAACGCAGAGATTGGTGTCGTTGCAGAGATTTCTTTTTTTTTTTTTTTTGTTTTTTCTTTACAAGACCGAAAGAAACACGCATTGTAAATCAAAATCTG